GAAGTTAGACATTAACACCGTTGGATGATGGCCGGCTTAGTGGTCTAATGGTTAAGCGGTTGTGAGCAAGACTGATAGGCCCTGGGTTGGAGTCTCGCGAGGCAAGGTCGTGGGTGAGCATTGCTGAGGAGTCCCATAATAGGACGAAATGGCTATCCAGTGCTTAAAGGTTTTCCATGGTGATCTAGCTTCACTTGACTCATGATTTCAATCAATATTGTTTTCATTTAGATTGTCATTATACTTTACTTTAATATATAGTAATATTTATATGCATATATGAAATGAATTAAACCAACCAAGGTAGTTTATGAGTCAGTGATAACAGTTGAATACATAACATAAATCAACATAATAAGTGAAAAATACAATCTGATAGTGTGATGACAAGTGTACTAGTCATGACCAGGATAACAAAGGTTTGAATCAATGTTTCATGATAGAAAGTAAGTCATTGACTTGAAAAATAGACACTGAAATAACATTCACTAAAAATTATAAAATTATGTAATAAGAAGTGTTCAGATAATTGGACAATCAAGCGTATATTTGAAAAAGAAAAACACCGGGAGGGGGCGGTGAAGAGGAATAAACGAAGAAACAGTATGGAAAATAATAAATTAAACTTTTTATCAAATCTAATTTGGCAGTGGAAGAGATAAGTGTTAGGAATTTTCCTTGGATAAAGACACGGATTGTTAGCTTGAATCCCTATAGCTTCTGCTATATTTGAGAGACGACATCGAACTCTGTAATGCAAACTAATAGGAATACGACAAACCACTTTAAATGATCTATATTCTACCTACTACATGACTGCTATCGATCAAGTGTGAAAGAACAGAGTTGCTCATTGTTTTCACAATATCTATTCCTGATCACGAAGGGAGGTGTTTACCAACTCGTTGGGTTAGTTGTCTGGTTGTGTACTCAATAGGGTTCTCTCTACAAGAGTAGCTGAATTCGTAGACACATACAAACATAGCAGAAATAATAAAAAAGTCAATGCCATTTTGAAGGGATTATCATGTTACAGGAATCAATGTTACACGTGAAAAACGGTGATATAAAACAAAACTAAATTGTTTGAAAAGATGTATTACATGAGCTGTTTTGAGAGGACATACATTTCAACGATTATGATCATGTGAGACGGCTATTGAAAGTCATTAATTATTAGACGAAATTCTAAAACATCCTGAGAGCACAGAGCAAAAACAGCATAGATTAATGTGATAGGCCTACCGTTATATATACATGCTAGGTTGTTTTATAGTCAATTGATTTACTTAATTTTTTTCTGGTTAGCGTTTGTTTAGCTAGTTAGTTTTCTACGGAATGGGGTCGCTAACCCCATGCCCAACCCTCCTCCTTTATCCGGGCTTAGGACCGGCAGTAGCCCCCGGAGGCACTCCAGGCAGAGTTCGTCAACTGACTTAGATAGATATTATTTAAATTAACCAAATTAACCAGGAACAGTGTAATTGAAAAACACCGGCAAGAAGGGAATTTTAATAATTACGCTCGGTTACAACAATAAATAAATATTCCATCTCCCTATAATTTCGCTAGTGGAGTGAGGTCCAGTCACAGGTGTAAGTATCTTTAAAACTTTCTCAGAGGAGAAGTGATCATCTAGGTAGCGGACAACTGATAGTAATGATTTTATGTCACGGACAAATTATGGCAGATTATTCCAGAATCTTTAAAATGTACTAGTAAAGTAATTCATATGAAAATAAGAATTGGAATAAGACACTTTCGATTTTGTTAAAGTTATGAATGCTATGAACAGTTGTTTCTACATATCAAATCTTATGCAACCATTCATCCATTATCTGGACTGGATAACTGATTCCACGCGACACGGATCGGAATCATGAATTCACATATTAAAATCATTAAAAATTTCCACAAATCCCCTCTCTGATAATAATCATGTGCTCACTAGTAATTAACTTCAAGATGGATTTCCTTGAGTTCTAGTGAAAAGCCGTAACCAGTGAAGTTCAGCCTAAACAGTATGTGAGACAAATATTCACCTTAGACAATGGATAAATGGTTGAACAAGATTATGGATCATTTGAAGTTAGACATTAACACTGTTGAATACCGGCTCAGTGATCTACAGGTTAAGCATTCGTGCGTCAGACAGGTTTTGGGTTCAACTCTTGTGTGTGTGTGTGTAATCGTGAATGCGCACTGTTGAGGAGTTCCATACTAGGAGGAACCGATGATCCATTGCTTTGAGGTTCACAATGGTAGTCTACCTTGAATCAACACATTAATTCAGCTATTAAGATATGAAGAAAAAAAGCATAAAATAATTGTTAGGGGTTGGTAATAATAATAATAACTGATAACGGTTTTTATACAATAAAGAGAATACAATGGAAACGCAATCAAAACATATTGAAAAAAGGAATTAAGGCCAAGAAAGAATGAGAAGTGGCATATGACATTTTTACATGATACATTTAATTAAGTGATTTCGTAGTAAAGAATATCTTTTTTTGTTCAATAGTTAAATTCATGAGTCAACTGAAGTTAGACAACCATGGAAAACCTGGAAGAACTGGACGACCGTTTCGTCCTAATGTAGGACTGCTCTGCAGTGCGCATCCACGATTCCGTCTCCACGAATTCAAACACTTCTGATATGAATATTTTCTCTATTCAACTTAATGGAAAAAAAGTGCATATTTCACATACTTCAAAAGTAAACTATTCTCAATTAAATATCATATTTAGTGAAATGAAAGACAACAAAAAAAAAAGAAATACACCACAACTGGATACAAGAAATATGTATCTGAGAAAAGATTCGATTAATTTCTTTCAAGTGTACTATTATAAATAGTTTATTGTGATAGTACAATTGTACTTAATAATTAAACATGTGATGAACAACTATTAAATAATTTCAATTTATAATGTCAAATAAATCAATGTTCAATGATAAAATTGAACAATAGTGTAAGTTAGAAAAGTATGAATGAAGTTATTTCTATGAAATGAATAAATAGAGATTATGATGATGATTGGAGGTAGTCAACAGGAAATTCTGGACCTAGGTTTTGTGCTACTTGTTATTCATCAGCAAGGTGTACCTGTTATATTGAAGGAGCTGATGTACCTTGACGGATTCGATAGGATTCGATCTACACTAAGAAGGACCTAACATACATGATATTAATCATCATTCAGTAATCAATCAATTGTAAATACATCTCAGTCCTATAGGACGTCAGTCGCAGCCCGGATAGCTCAGTGGTAACGTCTCTGATTGTGAAGCTGGTTGACACGGGATCGAATCCGTCTGTGTTTGATCATCGTTGTCTCTGAAAGATTGCTGACATCTAGTGGCAACACCATGTTAGTAATGCAGAGGTTTGGCATCGTGTGTTTGGGCACAGCGACGATAATTCAATTAGTGTCACTATCTTGAAACATCGACTTCGGTGCCTTGGATATGTTCTATGAATATCGTCCCAGAACATTCCACGTCGTGCATTATTTGCCGACGCCGGAACTAGTTGGAAAAAATGGAGATGTGGTCAGTGTATGATATAGTGTCGTGGTATGAAAGAATGGTGTACAGGACTGTCTTCTGTTGGTCCTCCACGACTCCCTGGTTGGGGTCCTAGAGATGGTGCAACACACACGTTATCAGATATGGCTCAAAATAGAAGCCAGTGGCAATTCTGCTGTAACCTTTTATTTTCTTCATAGAAAAATGGTTGTTTCTTCCTTAACTGGAATATTTCTTTTGACTGTACCCCATTATTATTATTATTATTATTATTATTATTATTATTATTATTATTATTATTATTATTATTATTTCACCCTTATACACTAATTTCTGTTCGTTGTTCTTTTTACATTCTCTATTTCTTAACAACCTGACTGTTATCGCGTGGTGCATATAGATTTGGTGTCCCCTTGTGACAATATTAATGCGTTCAAATAAATTAAATAATCATAACACGGTGACAACAACATTCGTAGACTAAAATTGATTACAACCAATCAGATAATAATAATGGTCAATGTGGAAATATAAATTAGTAAAAAGTTACTACCGAGTTCCTAACACATCAGAACGAGATACTTCGAAGTCGTTACAACATTATGAAACTTGAGTCATTGGATCATGAATAAATGAGAACCCGATATCAGTTTACGGAAATGAGAAATACTCAAGAGGAAAAGTGAAATAGTGGGAAAACTTGTATCAATTTTCATACAATGTTTACCAAGAAGAAATTTAGCTCGGAAAATGTAAAATATAATAAAATCCAAAGCTCGATACAACACTAAAATCAAAATATACGGTAAAAATTTAAATTAAATAAATTTTGCTAGGTTTGAAGCTATCACGAGTTCACTTAATCTGCGAACGAGAACAAAGACTCAGTGACCAAAGACCAGTAAACTAGCTATTGATGCGTTCCCGCCGCGCTATTAGAGGCAGAACTCCAAGCTTGGAATGGGAAAGTATATTCTACAAAAAGCCAGAAACGAGCAAACCCACAGCGATCCACAAACACAATTCAAACGTATATATATCAATTATATGTATATAATCGATATGACCATGGAAGTATAGCACAGAAACTAATATTTTAGGTTACATCACTGAAAATCTACAATATTACTGTGGTGTATGCTACGTATGTCGACGAATATAAGTAATATGTAACACTAACCAGAAGTGGAAAACCTAGCAGTAGAAAGCTATAAAGGTTAACTTGTAGGAAAATAAAAATGAAATTAGAAAGGAATTGTGAATCGGAAGAATCATACAGACTGTGAAGGAAAATGACAGAAATTCGCAAATGAAGTACTCAGTGTTTGGTTCTCATATTTTACCAAGACTTTTTTGTAATTTCATATTAAGATACACTCGGTCGTCCCCAGTTGAGTTTACATTCATTACAATATCAACTTGGATTTTTTCTGACCGAAAAAATTGTTTCTACCTAGTCGAAAATCAAATGAATTATTTACGTTTCCAGTATACTACTACTACTACTACTACTACTACTACCACCACTACTACTACTACTACTACTACTACTACTACTACTACCACCACCACCACTACTACTACTACTACTACTACTACTACTACTACTACTACTACTACTACTACCACCACTACTACTACTACTACTACTACTACCACCACTACTACTACTACTACTACTACTACTACTACCACTACTACTACTACTACTACTACTACTACTACTACTACTACTACTACTACCACCACCACTACTACTACTACTACTACTACTATTCAGTAAATTTATTTATCATTACAGTTTAAATTCTTAATCATTCAAATGATTAATTGTATTCACATAGATTTAAGCTAACTTTCAGTATAAAGTGAAAAGCTGTTTTTATTCCTCTTGTTCATTTGAATTTATTATTCATATAGTAATTTTTATAGAAATAGCTGAACTATATAGTTCACAACAAAAACTGAAATTAGTTAAGCAACCGTCAGAAACCAGGACACTCTAAATAGCTATTTTGTCTTGGTATGGGACATTTTAGCAGTGTTAGATCCAAACCCTGGAAAGATTAAATAAATATATATATGCACTACTGAAAAGTCACATACTAAGATGAAATATCTACCCCCTTTTTAATTATGTATGGTGATTGTCTAGTTAGGATCATTCCGTGGTATCGAATTAGTAGAAAAATCTCAGGTTACTCAGTTTTTTGTCAACAAATAATAGTTCTATTGGGTGTATGTATGTGTGTGTGTGTGAAAATAACCACGATATTATTTCGCGAATTGATAGTTCCGTAATGGACACCATTGTAATTTGATTAGGTTTTTTTCACGTTTATTTCGTTAATTTCCATTCATCTGAAAGTCACTAGTGGTTGCTATGTATATAGAGTTGTTTCATTACAACTTTAAATTGTTAACCTTTTTTTAATATCAAGTTTCCCCTGAAGTCTTCGCTTCTCTTTATGTTCTAGAGCTTTAAGAAATATCACATAAGTTTTGTAATATTGGTCGTCTCACCTATTAAGTTCTCATTCGATCCTTTTCGTTTTAGAAAAAATATATGTATAATTAAACTCCTCCTGGAGCTCCTCTGGGGCTACTGCCGGTCCCAAGCCTGTAGATCACCAACGTAAATGATCCATCTCGAAATGATTGGAGGCCAACTGGAGTTAGACGTGAATGGTGTGACAAACTAGCTAACGTCGAAGTCACACCTCGTGGTCAGCACCTTACGTGGACTACCCCATTGACGTATCAAGGTACCATAGATGCTTTGAAGACTGTACAACACAGAGGACATTATTACGGAAATATATTATTTATAGTAAATACAAGCGAAAGTAAGACCACTTCCGCATGGTATACGACTAACTGATGAGCGTTGGTTGTCCCTGACCTTGACGAGGATCAATGATTTGCTCGATATTTAATGACGCAACAGCCAGATGATTTGGCAAGGGCTTAGTGACATTTCGCTAACCCTACAAGCCGGGATAAAAGAGGAAGATTGGGAATAGAGTTAGTGACCCCATCTCATAGAAAACTAACTCTCCAAAAAAAACCGCCAAAAATACTGATAACACAAGTAAACATAAATGAGCAGTTTATTCACAAAGATAAATCATACGAATTGACAATACAACTGAACTAATGTTGTGTAATCAACATTTAATGATACTTAGATAGGAAACAAAAAAAACTTAGTTAATTAATCAATTTCCAATTTGTACATTATCGATATTTTGAGTAAATCAATCAATCAATCAAAAATATTGATTGGTGCATTTAAAAATTTGAAATATGTATGGTTTATAGAATTTTTTTAAAGGATCGATTTATAAAATATGCTTTATTATTAATAATAATAATAGTTACTGTGGGGGGTTATGGAGATTGTTAAGTTTATCATGTGCTCACTAGTGATTAGCTTCATGAGAGAATTCTCCGAGTTCTAATAAGAAGCCGTGACCAATGGAGTTAATCTTTGTTACGTAGAGATAGATATCTAACTGAGAAAATGGAAAATGGTCGAGTAATTGCACGAATTGGTTGAAGTTAGACATTAACACCGTTGAATACCATCTCATTAATCTACAGATTGACCGTTCACGTGCAAAACCAAAGGTTATCGGTTCGAGTTTTGTGTGTAGGATTGTAAACGCACACTTCTGAAGAATCCTATACTAGGACGAAATACCAGTTTATTGATTTGAGGTTTTCAGTGATAGTCTAACATTTATTGATTCATGATCTCGATCAAAAAACTAATAATAATCATAACAGTCATATAGAATCAATAAATTTTTTTATTAAAAAAAAGTGAATTTCACATGATCTCAAAACATATGAAGAAGATCATTATGAATATTTTCAAATGATATGTCATATTTTAATAGTATGTTACCATCGTTTCAATATGATTATACTTAAAAAGAGATGAATAAATAAGTAGAAAAGGATGGAAACTTTATTTCTCTTTCATTAACTGTGGATATCTATGTATTAGAGTTGATTAAATACAATTACTTACTTACTTACGCCTGTTACTCCCAATGGAGCATAGGCCGCCGACCAGCATACAAATACAATTACGTATCTATTATTCAGTTGTATACTATAAATAACCTAGCTATGAACAGATTGTGATTTCTTTTAAAATTAACAATGCATAGTAGTCTTGTAATTGATGTATATATTATCATTACCTAACTTACGTATTTACGCCTGATACTCCCAACGGAACATAGACCTCCGACCAGCATTCTCCAAACCACTCTGTCCTAGGCTTTCCTTTCTAGTTCTATCCAAATGTTGTTCATTCTTCTTATATCTATGTTCATTTCTCGGCTTAATGTGTTCTTTGGTCTTCTTCCTCTTCTCCTTTGGTCTTGAGGATTTCAAGTGAGGGCTTACTTTGTGACTCAGTACGGTATATTATCATATGAGTTTTAAATCATAATTATGCAGAGTAGATTGATCGGTTTGTCTAGTATTCGGGTTTAGAACACTAGAAGCAGAAATATGTTGAGTCAGTAATTCAACGTCAGGATACTTAGTAGACAAAACAAGTTAAGTAATGATCATTTGTATTATTTGGTGTAAGAGGACTTATCATAAGTGGACTTTATAATTTTGTAATCTTATTAAGTGAGTATATAGAATTTAAATGTACAACAAATTTTAGTCATGTATGGTTGCAAAACTACTGAAAACAAGGGATCGTTGAACAATCATAGCAGTCAGTGTGAAAGAACCCAAGACCCTCATATCTCTTGGTGAACATTGACGTTCTCACACTATCAATGATTCATATAACCGATTTCATTCATTTAGTAACGTAATTACATCAGAATGAGAGTGAATAACTGTTTAACCGTTAACATAATTAAGTTAACTCAAGTCATAAGTTCTACCTAGAACTTGAAGTTTTCGATTAGAAACTAGTCATTATTGAACATTGGACTAGTATTTAACTGAATAGTTTGTAAAGCTTAAGAATTCTTAGGTTCTCAATAATAAGACGATTCAAACAAGAATTTTTTTCATTATTATTATTATCAGCTTTATTCAATATTATATTTTTGGTACAATATAGAATTTTCAGCGTAAATTATTTCAACAAGTTTCCGTTTCTTTCTTCTTGGTCGGTCCTGGCGATAAATATTGAGTGTTCGCCAATTAGATAGTTAGCAGTTCAGTAAATGAACATCTGAATAATGCGCATTCTTTTCGTTGTATATTGCCAGCAACCATATTGGCTCTTATTGAGCTTTTTGTAACTTTGATAACGAAAGGTTGTACACTTTTCAGAAACGCAGTAGAATAGGTTATGTGATTAATAAACATAATGATATATTAAAACAAACAAAAATAGATAACTTGATGAAATGTCTAGATGGCAGGAACAGGTAGCCCAGATGCTCAAGCAGGCCGCCCTTTAATTACCAATCTGTAACAGGAACTGGACTCAAATGGATCAAATCACTCCCATCATAAAAAAACAGACACAATTCAACTAAGACTTAATTATCATGTGAATTGTAAAACACAGATGAATAATTTTTAGTGATTCTTTATTTCTTCCCTCTTTGTTTTTATTTATTTATGGAATTTCTATGGATACCTAAAACATTGTTGTTTGAATATAGAATGCTGAAACAGGTAATCACTTTGATATGCAAGGTTTCTTCATACTAATAATGACAATAACAATAACTCTTTTAGAATTTCATCTCAACAACATTTCATCAGTAAGCCTCAACACACACAAAGTAGAAAACCAAGATCCTTAAATGCAACACAGAGAACATCAACCCAATCACACTTAGTGGAGAAACTCTGGAGGATGTGGAAACTTTCATGGACACGGGATGCATCATCGATCAACAAAGAGGATTGACAAGGCGATTGAATAGCATATGGAACTCAAAACAACTTTCAACCAATATCAAAGTCAAAATCTTCAATACCAACGTCAAGACAAACAGTTCTACTGTATGGAGATGAAACATGGAGAACTATTACAATCATCATCAAGAAGGTACAAGTATTTATAAATAGTTGTCTACACAAGCTACTCAAAGCCAGTTGGTTGGATACCATCAGTAATAGCCTACTGTGGGAGAAAACAAACAAGCTGCCAGCAGAAGTGGAAATTAGGGAAAGACGTTGTAAGTGGATAGGACATAGATTACACAAATCATCAAACTGCATCACGAGGCAATCTCTAACTTGGTATTTTGAATTGAAATGGAAAAGTGTTAGGTCAAAGTACACACTGTGTCGGGAATTGGAAACAGATATGAAAAGGATGAATAACAACTGGAAGGAGGTGGAAAGGATTGCTTGGGACAGGGTTAGATGGAGAATGTTGGTGAGCGGCTTATGCTCCTGGACGAGGAATAACAGGCGTAAGTCTGTAACTAACATTTCAAGGAATTTATATCTAAAGATTTTATCAATGATAATAATGAATATCCTTTAAAATGATTTATAACTTTATAAAATACTTGAAAAAGGAACTTTTAACATTAAATATTATATATTACTAATTTATAATTTTTAAAAAATGTTGTGTAACAGTAATATTTCCATTCAAATTAAGGTCAATAAAATAAAATGATACACTTTTGAGATGGTGGAGAAGACTTGTAGCTCAGGTGGATGATTTTTACTTCTTTGTAAACAATGACAAATTTAAGGTCAATAAGAACCAATCAACATCGAGGTGTACAGAGCAAGCTGTGAAACGTATATGGAGAAATGTCAACACTTCAC